AGCAATGGCTCAGGATGATATATTAGCAAGTATCAGAGTTGAAATAAAAAATCTTACAGTCAGAAAAAACCCACAGAGGAATGATGGGCAGGGAATGACCAGAGAAGCAGGAACACACGGAGCCTTCCAGCGAGAGGTGGCCCCTGACCTGCAGGCTGCCCTCTCCCCAGAGGAGTGACCAGAGAGGGCAAACCACAGAGAGAGAGGTCAACAGCCAACAGCAGCCCGACAAGGAAAAGAGTGTAACCTCATGAACTGAACTAAATGTGCCCAATGAGCGCAGCCCGAAGCCCACCCATGCCACAGAGCTGGGAGGGGTGGCATCTGGACACCTGTCGCCCACCACCCCTGGGGAGCCAATTGAGGAGGTGACCTTGTCGTGTCCTTCTTCTGATGGCTGAGGAGAAACAGGGCCATGAATTCCAACAGAACTGAAGCTAGAGGGTTTCAAGTATTATTACACGGATGCTGAATCCCATGGAGAATGGTCCTGCCCCACCCAACCCCTCAGAGTGGAGCTCCCTGGCCTGTGACTTTGTGTCACATCTCAGAAGCGAGACCAGAGGTGGATGATATCACCCTTCAGTGCTGAGCTGGGGAAGAACAGAGCCACCTCCAGTACCCTCAGCACTCAGAACAGTGGCGGACACACCAGACACCCAGCACAAGCAAAGAAAATTAACTCCTCCTGCAGACCTCGAGGACAGAGACCACTACAATGAGAGCAAACAGAAAGCCACAGAAACACCACCAAGCATATGCTTGGTAAGGGGAACTGGGGCCCAACAGATCTACAGACAAGCTCTAGACTAGGCAAGAAAGGATGAATAGGAAAAAACCCTGAGACACAGAAAGGACAGACAGTTGACCCTTGAACTATGCAAGGGCTAGGGGCACTGGTCTCCACACAGTTGAAAACCCACCTTTAAGCTTTGACTCCCCAAAGGCTTAACTACTAACAGATTCCTGTTGACTGGAAGCCTTATGTATAACATACGCAGTAAGGTTCCACATATTTTCTATGTTTTATGCTATTATATACTGTATTACAATACAGTAAGCTACAAATCCCAGAAAGAAAATCCTAAGGAAGAGGAAATGCAGTTCCTCTTCACTGAATGGAAATGGATCACCATAAATGTCTTCATCCTCATGGTCTCCATGTTGAGTAGGCTGAGGAGGAGGAAGGAGAGCAAAGGTTGGTCTTGCCGTCTCAGGGTGGCAGAGGTGAAGGAAAATCCATATATAGGTGACCTACGCAGTGCAAAGTCAGCTGTACTTTATACCATAGAACAATTATTAAGAATAGGAATTCAATAGAACTAGGACTCAAAGGAAAAAGAATAAAAGAGGACTATAGAAATATGGAAGGGAGGCCGGGCGCGGTGGCTCAAGCCTGCAATCCCAGCACTTTGGGAGGTCGAGACGGGCGGATCACGAGGTCAAGAGATCGAGACCATCCTGGCTAACACGGTGAAACCCCGTCTCTACTAAAAAATACCAAAAAAACTAGCTGGGCGAGGTGGCGGGCGCCTGTAGTCCCAGCTACTCGGGAAGCTGAGGCAGGAGAATGGCCTAAATCCGGTAGACAGAGCTTGCAGTGAGCTGAGATCCGGCCACTGCACTCCAGCCTGGGCAACAGAGTGAGACTCCATCTCAAAAAAAAAAAAAAGAAATATGGAAGGGAATTTGGGGACCAAAAACAACATCACTGTAAGGCTAACATGTGAACAGCACAGTACTAACATAGAAGGCTCAAAATAATCAAAGACTATAGTTCTTAAGATGAAGAAATTAAAGTAGCTAGACAAAAAGTAATGAATACATAAGACAAACAATGATGACTACATCTCTGAACTGGGACATGAAGATTTAAGCCTGTTGAGCTAGGGTGGGCACACTTTTTCTGTAAAGGGCCAGTGAATAACTTAGGCTTGAGGGCCACACTCATGCCACAACTCTGCCACTCTAGGCAAAAGCAGCCCCAGGCCGGGTGCAGTGGCTCATGCCTGTAATCCCACCACTTTGGGAGGCCGAGGCGAGTGGATCACCTGAGGTCAGGAGTTTGAAAACAGTCTGGCCAATATGGTGAAACTCTGTCTCTACTAAAAACACAAAAATTAGCCGGGCATGGTGGCAGGCACCTGTAGTCCCAGTTACTCAGGAGGCTGAGGCGGGAGAATCTCTTGAACCCTGGAGGCAGAGGTTGCAGTGAGCCAAGATTGTGCCATTGCACTCCGCCTGGACAACAAAAGCAAAACTCTGTCTCAAAAAAAAAGCAGCCCCAGACCACATGGAATCCAATGGGCGGGGTTCCCAGAGAGTTTTATTATAAATACAGGTAATGGGCTGAGTCTGACCTAAGGGCCATATTTCACCAACTCCGGTTCTACATTTAAAGAGCGCACTAAATGCCCAGCAATGTGATATGGAAAAAGACCAAACTAAGACACATCAGCAAGACATTTCACGACATCAAAGATAAAGAAAAGTTTCGAAAAGCTTACAGAGAAAAACACAGTTCACATACAAATAAGAACGGCACTAGACTTCTCAGAAAAGCTGGCAGCGAGAAAACAAAGTTGTGATGTGAACATTCTTGGTGACAATTTCCAAGCTAGATTTTCACACCCAGCCAGGATATCAGGTAAAGCCACTGGCAGAGACACAATGAGTCCAAAAATTCACCCCACGTAGCTCAGGAAGTCATTAAAAAGGTGTCCATCCCCTGAAACCAAAACACAGGAGTAAGCTGAAGAGGACAAGAACAGGAGAGACAGCAGGCAGGCGGCCGCGAGCCAGATCCACTTCACCCGGCGGAGGTTTCAGGGATCCAGGTCCCTAGAAGCTGGGCAAGGGAAACCCCAGGCTGTATGCTGTCACGGCCCTGACCCGGCATGATCACTGACAGTCGTGATATCAGCACAGATGACAGAACCAAATGCCAGTGTGACCAGCAATGGTGAGATCTGGGAGGGGACACAGAGAAACACAAGGTAAACAGAACCCACGAGTGTCACCACAAGCTGTCACTCAGAAACACAGCTCTGCCACCAGGCGGGGGCCCTGAACCCCTTGTCCCTGCGGAGGGAGAAGGGTCACCAGGTGGCCCACTTGGGAGGTGCCCACCTAGAGATGCCTCTGCTCTGATATGGTAGGCGGGCACCCAGGCCTCCCCTGGATGAGTCGCTGAACCATCCCTGGGTGTCGAGCCGAGTCCTCCTCTGGGTGCTGGGCCCTGGGTGAGCTTCCCCTGGGTGTCTATCCCAAGCGGAATCTCCTGGGTGCCCGACCCTGAGTGCCAGTCGCTGGACCACCCACCCTTGAACTTCCACCCCATCCCGGCCCTCCCCAGGTGCCCACCTCCCACGCCTTCTGCAGGCCCCGGGCGCCCGCCTTTCCCCTGGGTGCCGGTCCCTGGCCACTCCCCTGGGTGCCCGCCCCCTTGCGCCCTCCTAACACGCGCTCACCCGTACAAGATAACATCATAGAGCGTCCGGCCCTGCACGTTCAGGAAGTGGGCGTAACCCGCGCGCGCAAGAGGCGGGGCCCCCGGGGCCGCGGGACC